ATTTAAAAAGGAGTCGAAATCACAACTATTGTCTCAATTATTACTAAAATTTCTATGTTCATCATAAGAGTTTGCGAGAATCAATTCTACTTAATAATACATATATCACAATTTCAGTAATATATGTGTTTTGTTTAAACTAATTACTAGAAACATCGATAAGGAATTTATGGGCCCCATTTGCGAACCTGAATAGCTGATAGTTCGCTTGCATGAAAAATGCATTTGCTTCAGAATTGAACAGGAAAACAATGCGATAGTGCTTTCTGCTTTTCAAAAATTCTTTCTAGATAATGCAGTTGCGAACAATTGAGATATCCTGTATCCTAAATTATTCAACTAAGTTTTAAATTTTTACTCAAGAAATCTGAATGAAAAATGAAATGCCAATCTTAATAAAACGTACGTTAAAAGAGCATATAAAACATGCAATATATGAATCATTAATATATTTTATAAGATTGATATGGGTGATCTGATATTTGCAAAGTAGATATAAAAATATAATGAATCATTTAATTTAAATAGAGATTTTAAACGATTGAATTTGGAATTTTGTCGAAAAATGTAGATGAAACGGATTTTGTTTGATAAATGTAGACAAAATAATGTTTTAGATGAATGTATGATGTATGTATTTATTTATATGTGATGTCAACTTTTAAATGGAACGAAATGTTTCTCTTAGAAGTCAAATATTTGACGAAATGTTTATGTTTAAGCATGATATTTTTTTTAAATGTTTATTGGACTTGCAATCTGGTACATTGGCCATTTTCTAATTATATATTAGCACCTACATTATATAATATATTTCAAATACTTATATATTTTTAAGCATGACGTCGATTTAAACTATTCTAAAGAGTTTATGTTTTTACTAGAAAATCCTTTTTGTGAACTTCACGGAAAATGTATGTTTTCAAGGAAATGCCAGACTAGGTCTTTTGTCTGGATATGTCGGGCTCAATAATAATACCGATAATAATACCGAAATCCTCTGCTTATGCCTCTGGTCATCACGGAACCGCCGTTAAGCATTACTTCCTGGGGGGAGGATCTAGAATGCAATGATTCTTTCTCTGAATTATACTTTCATCCTAATTAGTTCCATTTGCTCTTTATAGAAATGTATGTGTGTGTACGTATATGTGAGTCTAAATTTTACCTTTTGTCTTTAAATTTTTATATCGTTTTTTCCACAACCTGTTGCACCTATTTCAAAATTTTAAAGGCTAGTTGAAGAAACTTAAAGGGCTCGCCAAAAAACCTGAACAGTTCATGAAACTTGCCTTGATGCGAAATGCTTAAAGATTGTAATATTCGAAATATAATTTAAGTTCTTTGAATACTGCCAGAATAATCGATTCAAAATAGTAATACTTATTATTTGAGATTACAATTGTAGTAAAATATTTATAACTGTTTCTCTGAGAAAAAAATCATATATAGTAGAAAACTTCAAAATTGAATACTGTAGTCAATTTTTTTAATAAATTTAAAGAAGAAGAAGGTGCGTATTTTGACTACTACAACAACCACTACTTCCACCAATATCATTAGATTTTAGCTAATAGCCAATATCATTCAGACAAGAGCAATGGACAATTATAAATTTAATTTTTTAAATAGTGGAAAACTTGAAGATTGAATACTGTAGTCATTTTTTTTTTCAAATAAATTTAAAAATGAAGAAGATATATATTTTTGACTACTACTCCAACCACTATTTCCACCAATATCATTAAATTTTAGCTAATAGCCAATATAATTCAGACATTAGCGATGGGAAATTATAAAATTGATTTTTTTTCTTTAAAATGTAAATGGTTATCTCAGAACCTGAAAGTTTTGTCTGCACATTTGAATAAATCGTTGTAATTTATAAAAATTTTGTGTGAAATAATATATCATCATTCAAAATATTTAATATTCATAGAAGTTTTTGACCAGTTTCATAGTTCCTAATATTATCTTGTAATTATAATGGTTAAACCAACATTGCTCTACTGGCTCTTGCAATAGCAAATAAAAAACGAATATACAGAAAATATTAAACCATATTTTTATAACCTATTTGCGCCATTTCCTTCTGGGAAATTTATAATATGAAATAAATGTGCTCTGAAGGACACATGTATGGTTTCAAGTGAAGATTGTTATTGGCATTTCGTAAAGCGTTTTTAATAACGATTTTCTTTGTCATGTACTACCAGGCATTCCATTACCGGGTATATGCGTGGGTTGATTCTAATTAAATGTCTGGAATATTTCAGAGATTTTGTATGATGAAAAATGCAGTGGTCGCTTATAATCTAGGTTACGCTAATATATTTATTTAGGCTACGTGGATTCATTGTAATTATTAATACAGACTTGTGAAAAATTTTGCTAACAACATTAGTGATTAAAAACAAATGTAAAAAGAGTAAAACTAAGTGAATTGTGGCATTATTCTTTAAGGCAAGTTGTAAAAAATCTTGCAGCGTATATAATTGACTTATAATCATTAAGAATTGAAATTTAGCCAGTTTTAAAATTGTAACGATAAAATTTTGAAATTTTGTCTCGTTCAATAATAATATTTTTGAATGTGGGTTAAATAAAATCTTTAAATTTGGGGTAAATATTGTTTATTTATATTGAGCTCATATTGGTTTTTTATTTGGGGTAATTATTGCTTATTTATATAAAGTTTATATTGGTAATGTGAGGTAAATATTGATTATTTATATTGAGCTTATATTGGTTTTGAATGGGAATTAATGTTTTCACGTAACTAAAATTACACGTGATGTTTGGTGGGTAGTGGGGTTAATTTTGAATAACACCAAGAGGGAGGAGGGGTCAAAAAATCCTTAAAAACTAGCTCACGTGATTAATGGACGCTCCCTCACTAATCGGAGAATGCTAACAGAAGCATATTATAGCAATATTGATAAACTATTGGTTCAGGTTTCTGGCGAAAACGTGGATGAATTTTTGCTTTTCTGTTAATTCTAAAGAAACGGTTTGGCTGATCACCTTACAAAATTAATCAACGCCAGTCCTTATATCGAATATATACATAGACATATAATTTTCCAATTTTGGTACCGAGCGATTCACAATAACTCCAGACCTCGAAAAAAACTAAAATTAGCAATCGGATTTTCTGGTAAAAACAAGCTTATCCGATAGTAAATTCAAATTCCAAGGTGGGCGGATTCTGTATGAAAATTTGCCTCATTTTCTGAGCCGCTTTTAATTATATTGTAGAAAAGTTGAAAAAGATATTTTAGAATTAGGCATTCTTGAATATCATGCACAATTGTTTGCATAAAAACTCGGGAATCAATAAATCCACAAAAGATGTCGATTTGATAATATCCAAAAAAAAAAACGTTTATACGTGCACACGAAGGCATATGACTATAATAGGGTTACCAAATTAACACTTCATAAAATTTTGAGTGTCTTTTAAATTTTTGAGTAATTTTCGAAACGCCTGACCAATTTTGACGAGAATTTTTTTGCGGTTAGTTGAAGTATATGTAAATAACTTAAATTCCTTGTATTTAATAAGAAATTATTTAGATATAACAAGACGACGAAGTTGCAGGTACAGCTAGTAATAAATAAATATATTATATATCCATCATCTATCATTAGCGCAGCAAATCAGTATGAAAATTGATTATAAGCTCGTCATTAATTACGCATTCTGAAATTATTAACTTTATGTACATACTACATGAAGCATTTAATATTTATTAGCAGAAACCAAACAGTATTAAGGTAAGGATAATTAAACTTTATCAAGGTATTCTGTGCTAAAATTCATACCCGAGCTTAAGAGCGTTGTAATAGGCACGAAGTGGCGATTTCATTATTTTTTATTTGCCGACCTACACAGAAATGACGTCTGTAATTTTTCTCTAGAGAGGCTCCATATAGCATAAAATCTACTAAAAAAATAAAAGCTTGATATAACACGTAGCATAAGTGCATATGACACGTTAATTTAAATTTGTCGATATTAATTGTTGGAGATGGAGAATAAATAAAGCTATATATAGATGGCTTTCAATAAAAGGTGTTATTTTGGATTTTTACATAATAAAATAACATTTATTAGTTATTTTCCTGATAAACTTAATAACTTAAAAATTGCAGCAAATCGTAACTTTCATAAAAAAACCTTTATTAAAACCCGGCAATAATTCTAACAATAAGTCAATAAAATTGAATAATATATGAATCACAATCTGTATATATTTGATAGATAAATCTTAGAATTGTTCTTAATTGTAATTTGTTTTCTGAATCTAAATAAAAGGCGTTTTTGAAAGACATCTTTTACGACGTTTTGGATCTAGTTACGTTCCATATCGTATCAGGCTTTTGGTAATGAACAATTACATATATATTATATGGAATTTATAATATAAAAATAAAATAATTAAAAAGTAAAACAATTAAGAAAACGGATTGTTCTAAAACTACAAAAATGTGCAAACATTTATTAAAAAAAATGTAAGAATTATTTAACTGCAAGTCAAATCGGAAAACTAGTTTTCTAACAATATATGTATTTGAGTTACATTTCAATAATAATGATTAAAATATTTTAAAATAGAAACACATACTTGAGTTTTAAAACTTTACTAATATTACATAAATGATTATACTAGGTTTATGTAAAACAAGCCCTGTAAAGCTTTTGCTTTTTTCAGAGTTTTTATTCATTTTTTTACAGAATATTTAAAATAAAGTAAATCATGATAAATATTTAATCAAAAATATTTTTTTTACTAAACAGTTGAATAAACAGATCTCAAATGTATTTTTATATTCCCAACCAGTTATAAATAAATAAGACAAAATTATTTTTTTAAGAAATTTATTAATTTAATCTTATATACAAGTACAATGTGTCACATATTTTTGATAAACTTATGATGTTATCACTCCAACATTGACATATTTCTGTATTTTTATTATAATTTCAGAAAACAGGATAAATAAAACTTAAAAATAATAACCCATTACAAACTTATTCGTCTTCTCTAAGAACATGTTTCTGTCTTTCAGGAACATAAGGTACTTGACCAGGTTTCGAATGCATTCTACGATTTTGTTCCTTACGTTTAGATTTCTCTTTAACTGTTCTAAGTTCCTTTTGGGCATTGTATACATGTTGTGGAACTTGTCTGTGCCTTGCAATTCTCTTGATTTGTGGATGGCCAGCAAATTTCTCTTTCAAAGCTGTTGCAACTTGTATTGCATTTCGTTCCCTCGGTTTCATCTAAAAAAGTCATAAAATTAACAAAATTCATTCTAAATTTTTATTGAAATATAAAATACATACCACTCCAAGTTTTTCTGCTGCCCTAGCCTTCCACATACGGATATTCATTTCATCAGATCCACTCAAAACATATTTATCATCAAGGGACCATAGCACACAAGTCAAACGCTGCATACGTTTAGTGTGATATACCTGTCAATAGATTTGATAATTAGACATACCATTATGAATATATACATTCATTGTACATATTTTTTTTAAATTAATACCTCTCTTGAATGTCCCATGTGACTGTCAAAAATTCTGATAGTTTTATCATAACTTCCAGAAACAAATTCTTTTCCTGTTGGTGAATAATCTACATCTACTACAGCCGAAACATGATCCATGTGGACCATTACTGGTTGTCTTAACTTTCTTGTGTCAAATGTGTATAAACTAAAAAATTGTGTTAAAGGTTAAAGGTTAAACATAAAAATATATATGTCAATTTTGCTCACTGTAATATCAAATAATATCAAAGGCAAGACATAATACATCTTTTATAATTATTATTATTAATTCTATTATTTCATCACTTTCATTTTCCTCAAGTGAAATTATTAATATTTTTAAACTTTAACATATTATTAAGAATTAAATTTAGAAGCTTGAGCTAATTGACTTTGATTGATCTAATTGATTATGATAAATAAAACAGTAATAAAAACAAATGTTAAGACTAACTCATAATCTAGTCAATAAAGTAAAATTTAAATAAAATAAATTATTTACTTATAATCTTCATTTGCTAAGGTGAATGTGAAGGCCTCCATAGGATTCCATGCCAGTCTATTAGATCTCAGAGTCATAACAACCTTTCTCAAAGGTTTAGCTTCCCTGGTATCATACAATATAATGCTTCTATCACTGGCACAAGCTGCTAATAAGTTTGTCTCAACTTGGTTAAAGGCTACATTATGTATACTATCTACTCCCCATTTCATAGACCTTATGGGTTCATTTCGATCATGTTCCCATAATTGACAGACTTCACCACAAGTGGCTATTATAGGTTTTTTACGGTGATGGGTTACTCCTGTTAGTATTGTTCGACTTAAAATTGTATTGACGGGTTCTTCTTCTTCTCCAAATTCAGGAGGGCTGGTATTCCAGGTTTTGATTGTTTTGTCATCACCAACAGTTATAAAGTGTTGGCCATCTGGTTTATATGCTAGACCTCTTACTATTCCTATGATATAAAATAATAATAATAATATAATAAATGGGAATTGAATTATTTTTATTATAGTAAGTTGAGTTAGACTATATCTAAACTTAATTTTGATATATCTGAGGCAATAAGTCAAGTTATGCTCATCATAGAAGTGTTTATAATAATTTAAATACCAAAAGCATAGGAAAAACTATGTATTTCTCATTTCAATTTAATGTTTATAATTGGAACTATGATACTATGGATGCTTGTCCATGTAATTGAGGATCAATGAACCATTACCTATATTAGTGCAAAGAAATCTAAATAAGAATTTGAAATACTATTGATAAATAATATTGAAATACTCATTCAATGGAATAAAACAAAATAATTTCTGAATGCACTTTATAGTGAAAAGTGAATCATAATAATGATGATATTACTGTTACCTTCATGTGCAACGAAGCTTCTTATACATTTTCTTTGTGGCAAATCCCAAACTCTAACTTCTCCGTCATAGGCACCACTGGTTAAATTTGATAAACTTGCTGGATGTTTAGCGAAACAGGATACACCATCTCTGTGACCACTAAGATTGCCTACGAAAGGCTTAGCAAATACCCTTTCTAATTTAACTGCATTTAGAGCTCGAACATATTCTCTGGGAGCCTCAAATGGATGTAGTGCAGGATCATAGTTTCTGGGAACTGAATATAAAAATAATAAGTATAGACTTTTGCTACAAGACAACTACTTCAAAACAAATTTTATAGAAACGTTTTATGTGGAAATTCTCGCAACATTATTTACACACTTATGCGTTGAATAAAATTATTTTGTTAGTGTCTTGATATAAATAACCAAATTACTCATGCTTTGCATGATTACAAGTTTGACAATGAGAAAATTATAACTCCAGGTTATTTAATAATAATCAATAAATCAATGACATTTTTGCATGGTCTAATGATAATGATTGGTATTCCAGGTTTTAATTATATTTCACTGGCAACCAATTAGTTTGAGATATAGCATATAAAAACACATGTTTATTTCATATACCTCTATGTATATCCAATTTTGTTGGTCGCAAGTATTCATCAGGATTTCTGCTGATTACTTTGACTTTCATTTTGTATGCTACTTTAACACTATGATTTAAATTATGATTTATAATAAATATTAAAACATTTGGATATCGAAAATGAATCCAGAATTTCTTAGAGCAAATTTCTGTCGAAGCACTACGTATATATTTATATTATTAGTTTATATTAATATTAAAGTAATTCAATGTAATTCAAGAAACGTCAATGTTGAAGTAGGGTTATGTTTCTAATGTCAAAACACGTGCTCAATTATTTCTCGTTTTGTGTAGTGGCTAACTTGCTTCTTAAGCGCGTAATTCGATCTTAAACTTTAGTGAGGAGGCTCGAGGAAATGATAAATGTTCTTTGTGGTGACATCAGATTAAAAAGAATTTTGTGATTTATTATTATCATATACAATACATTTTTTCTGGGAATTACATTTAATTATATATAAAAATGTATATTTCGAATATAATTTGGTATGATCGAAAAATTCCTGGATTTATGATTGGATTTTCATAAATATAATCAGCTTTTTGTGTTAAATTTTGTTATTACATCCATACCTACACTTTACGTTCTTACAGAACACGACGCAAATTAAAATAATTTTTAGTGAAGATTTTCCTTAGCAATTCATGTTAAAATCAATTTGTTTTTGAAAAAATACTACATTTTACAAACAGAACTTTATATATTTTAGAAAAAAAAGTTTATATCATACTACTACTACTAACTTAATAAACAATTAATTACTGTCCATCATAAATTAAACACTGTCTAATAAGTCGTAGAAAGTTTGCTTCCTATTACAAAATCAGTATAATTTCTGATGAATTTTTACAAGGTTATATAGATTTTTTACAAGGTGAATTAATTTTTTTTAGCATTTGATATTAATAGCTAGTTAGTTACCAATAGTAGCTATAGCTACCGGAACACTTGAAAATTTCTCTCTCTGTAAGGATACATTATTTGAGCATGCTTTCGATTTTGATTATAGAGGAATAAATCCTGCTAGCAATTTTTATAATAAAAAAACAAAAATTAGGCTATGGACATTGAGAGCAAATATTATAAAATTAGTGCTAAAGAAATCTGTATTTAAATTGAACATATATAGAATTATATAGCCACGTTTATAAGTAAAAATATATGAAATAAGTTAGGAATTTTCCTAATAGAAAAATAAAGGTAAAACTATTAAAATGACAATCAAAATGAATATTACAAAATTATTGATAAAAAAATCAGATTTATTGAACATATATATGGCCTCAAAAAGCATTATTTATACACGTTTATAAATAAAATTCATTAAAACTTATGAAAAACTTCTCACTTGAATCGCAATAAGAAATATAATAGAATCTCCAGTTTGCCTTCCTTACTAAAAATAGATTAAATAAATTGCTTGTTATCTGTTTTTTATTGTTGTTTGACTTTTTAATCTAGTATATTAGCCATTTACTATTATACTTAATGAATTAGTTTTATTACATATGTCGTTATCCTTTGTGAATGCATCTTATTAAATCTTATAAATGCAAACAGGGCACTATATATTATAATATTAGATTAGTTGTCGTACAGTTGATGTAATGATCAATATTAATTCCTTTAAAACAAGTAAAACCCTAGTTTTTTTTATTTACTCCTGAAATTCGATTTTGAGTAAAATAGACATAAATTAAAAAGCATTAATTAATATCTTGCAAGAGTAATTAATTAATAGCTTGCAATATGCTTGATATTCGAGTTGTAAGAATTTTTCGTTTTGGTATAAAATTTGATAAAGCCTCACAATATGTTTAAAATATTGAAACTGCTTCGGAAATAAAATGTTTAAAAGTATTATTAGCTCTCCGTCTATTGCAGTCGAAACTGAATAGAATTTCTTTACATTTTTGGTTTCATTCATTCAACAGTTTTCAAAGGAACTATTAATATCGGACTGAATTAACAATTAACAAATTTCGAGTTGAATTTATTTGAGTGAAATGAATTGTTAATGAAAATTGCAGGTTTATAGTGTATGATTATTTTTTTTATCCAATGTTTTTCGGATTTACAACTCATAAAATATTATTTAAATTAATTAATTTAGCATTAGCGATAGTTCATGATGATTCAAATTTTTATGTGTTTTCACTCTTATTGGTTTGTTACATTAATTTTGGAAATATTATAAAGCGTAGAAATTAAACTGAATTGCAAATTTGGAAATTATCTGAATTTGCAAAATACACATGTGTTGCACAAGTACTGAGTGTATAGATTAGTACGTTAAAAACACAGTTTTTTGTTAATAATTTTATTTTAAAGCTATGAATCCAATGATATTATCAATATTTTTTAAAATTTTAAAATATGACGTTTTACAAAATGTCAAAAAAAAAACTATTTTTTTCCAAATTGAACGTTTTTTTTAGCTCAAATGTTTCTTTTCCACCTACAAAATGATTGTAAGACTGGCAACTATCAAAAATGCATCTCAATCAGTGTATAGCATTCACGTTCTACTAATAAACGCGCGCGTTAAAAATAACTTGGCAGTACGTTCTTGTCTTTTGATGTGATGAGCCCAGAAATACACAATTTCAGGATCAGATATCCAGTTGTAAACTCCAGCTAAGAACTTCAAACTGCAAACTTCCAATTTGCAACCTGCTAATCCGAAATCATGGAAAACTGGTCCACAAACGCGATCATTAACTGGAATCATCATGGAATTATGGAGTTGCCAAGTGAATTGGAACATTATGGCAGTAGCGTGAGGGAAATGCATTTACAACATAATAGAATTCAAACTTTGCCGCCATGGATCACGTATTTAAGGAATTTGAGTGCACTTTATTTGGATAATAATAATTTGCGGGATATTCCGGAGGAAATTGGCACCTTATCGCACCTGACTGATCTGAACTTAAGTAGTAACAGTTTGAGCAAACTTCCGCAAGAGATCAAATCTTTACATAGTTTGACGAATTTAATCATTACTGATAATAACTTGACCAATTTGCCCGGTAAGTAGTCAGATTTTTTTTCAAATATTAATATCAAACTACAAATAGTGCTAATAGAGGTAAAGTATCTTTGTGAGCAACATTATGAAAACACCAGCAAAGACATCTTTGATAATAATTGCTTGGCAATATTCCGTTGTTTACTAAATTTGATCTATCAACATATTTTGTGTATGCTAGTCGATTGTTTTACTAGAACTAGGCTTTTCGAATATCTAATCAAAGGTCCAGATACATAAATTTTTTACTTGGCTTATTGCCATTTTAAAAAACATACAAACTCAGCAAGCTGAGAATGCTTGTTTTGTTATAAATTTTAACTAAACACATACTTGTTTATTCTTAAAACTAACTAGTGGTGCATGGCATCGTGTCGGCAAATTGCTGGAACTTCTCATACCGTAATAAAATATTCTAGAAATATTAAATGCTTTCAAATAGATTATTATAAATACTGTAACTTATATATGTTTACAGAAAAATGAATAAACAACACTTAATCAATCGAAATTAAAATGAAAGACATTGCCCAATATTTAAAAGAATTATATAAACTGAATTGCAGGGTTAAAATTATTTATTTCGAGTATATAAGTGAGCCTAAAAACTTTAGCTAGAACTAAAATAAAAATCCGAAATATTTTCGATATTAAATTTTTTTTATGGGAATTAAGAAAAATGGAAAAAAAAATTCTTCCCAAAGCAATCGTTTTGTCAGCACAAACAGAAAGTTTTTTGAATCATTCAAATTGGATGCTTATTTTTTTCAAAAACATTCATGTTTTACACATTTAGCTCGGTATCTCCAAAACGGTTGGACTTGCCTTTGCCAAAAACTAATCAGCACATCTCCCTGTCAATAGGAATCAAATGTTTTTTGAACCATCAATTCGATTGATCCGTGCGCCCGAAAACATGGTCAAAAATTTTATAAACACACACATCCATTTTTCCTTCCAACCTTCAAAACGTGAATAAATGCAAAAAAAATTCAATTTTATATTTTTGGACGATTATAATACGGAAAGTTAAAAATATAAAATTATCGTTTTTTATCAAATATAAAATATATATTTTATTAACCTGAAATTAATTCTTATTTTTCTGATGAATTGGAGCACCTGATTTTATAGTATTAGTCAATCATAAAAATAATTCAGTATCAGTTATTAAGCCACAGTCAATAAAATTGTAACCTAAGTAAAATGTAACCTAAGTAAAATTATTTTATATTATAACTGCACAACGTTTGGATCTTAAATGTAAAACCTGAAAGTAAAGCCCTAATATTTAATATTCACCAGAACTTGTTTATATATTAATTTATGTTTAAATTCATTTATTCAAAAACTTGTAGAGTCAATTATCTACATATTCTGGAGCTTCAGCAATATAATTTTATCAGGAACACTAAATTATATTATATTAATTAACGTTTAAAATCATATGTCCATATATAAAATTTTCTCAAATTTGAAATATTGTACATAAAACATAATTAATTTCAGTATTGTTATAACATTCACATTCGTATATATAATATTTTTATATAAAATTTCGTCGCTAGATTAAAATTCTGGGCGTATTTTATTGGTCAAATTGTTAATTTTTAACACAGTTTAAGTTTCGTTATCAAAGAAATATAACAAACTCTGAAAAACATGGTAAGTGGTAATCCATACACATAATTATTAACGAATGTATATAACGTACTGTTTCTAGAAACAAATTAATTCGAAACATCGAAAATTATAATCTTTTGTTTATAAAGCGAATCAAAAATTTGCGATAAAATTAGTGAAATTATTATTGGAACATTTGTGACAGAAATTATATCGGTCATTCTGCCCATGCTTATTTTATTTTAAGTTCTGGCTTAGTATATGACAAATAAATAAAGCAACTTTTGTGCATATAACCGATTTTTAATTTTGATGAACTGGCACAATAAGATTTTATTAAGCATCTGAGGTTTTCCAAGATTTGGCCTATAATATTAAATTAAAAAGATCAATAAAAAACATTGTATTTCACTTTAGTTTGAACATACATGTAGCGAATTCTAAATATTTGAGTTTAAATAGTAGAATATTGCATCAGTTTTGAATTACATACTCACTAAAATTTTTAAAAATAATGCTACAAAAGATAATATTAAAACACCAACACTTTTTTCACACTAAATCTACACAATGCATTTACGTGAATATTTTTTTTTGATTCGTGTAACTTCTTAGTTTCAAATAACTTTTTAATTTCTTTCCATATTGAATCAAATTTTTCATTTTTAGCGGTAATTTTAATTCGAAGTATTTTTGTTCATTTGCCTACTCTAAATAATAACGTGACTGATAATTACTTTTACGTGATAATTTTACTTTTGAAAATTGTTTTGCAAAGAAATTTATTTATTAGTGAATTATTAAAATGTAATAACATTTTACAACAAAGTAACGCAATTAGTGAATTTATATAATGGGTTTCTTTGCAGTGTAATACAGTACCATAATTAATTAGATAATGCGTTATTTTCAGTAGTTACTATAAACAATGAAAAACTAGCTTTCACCAAATTTAAGTGAATTATACAAATTTAAAAATATATAGTACAGAATTCTCCTTTTTTGTGAAACTTACAGCCAACAATATGACCAATTATTGGTCAAATAATTCATATAAAATTATAAGTTGATATATCCGAAAATTTACAAACAATTTGATATTTGCAACCAATTTGCAATTTACAAACAACTTGATGAGAACATTTCAAATAGAAGTGTGATTGTTTATGAAATTGATTTAGTTAATTGTTTGCGATAATTGAGTAATTCAAGAAGTTATCGAATGGCTTAGATTTTCTGGAATAATAACATTATTTATTTATAGAGCTTAAAATAAGCGATAATGGGTGTATTACTACTGTTGTGATCGATTGTTAATTATAGGTTTATCAATTTTACGAATTTTTATTTGATGGAGATTAGGAAGAAAGATTGAAGGCAACTTCAGGTGATGGTTGGTTACACATTTTTTGCCTTCTACTTTAAAATAGTACATTGAAAAATTCAATACTTTACTTGTTTTTGAGATAATTATGGTAAGCTTTTTTACCCGCGGACCTTTAAGCCCCGCTCTACCCTATTATTAATGTTTCCCTTCGCAAAATAGGTTTTGTTGACTTTGTATATTTCGTATTAAAAATCCTTTTGTGTATAAATATTACTTGATAATTAATAATCAAGCTCGTTTATCAACTTCCCGTAGGGTAAGTTATAGTAATCGCAAAAAAATGGAAAATAAAATGTTTTATATATCTTTACGCTTCAAGGGTTTCTGAACATTTTCAAGCATACCTTAGAAAAAAGGATGTATGTGTGTATGTATGTATGTGTGTGTGTCTGTGTGTGTGCGGATACAAATTTTTGTAGACTATTTTGCGAATACGGATCAACCGATTAGAATAATTCGATTCCTACTGAAAGGCAGGTCCTGCCGTTTCGGAGATACGGGGCAAAAATTATTTTACTTGTCTTGACGAAATCAACAATTGGCGAAATTTGTGTATATACAGGTCTAGCGTCTCCGTAGATCCAATGAAAAAAGTAAAAAATAATGCCAAAATGATCATTAGACATATGTACATCATATTATCACATATTTTATTAAAATTATAATAATAAGTACAAATTTTGTGTACAATGTTTACACGTTAGAAGACTACCGGCGCTTAGGCGCTTTGATATTTTGACCCCAAATCAGCTATGCAGCGCCATTGCCTAAAAAATGTTCAATATTTTCAAAAAAAATCATAATACAAAAAAATCAAAAAATAGAAACAATCAACATTTTCAAAAATGTCATTTTTTTCAAAAATTTCAAAATTTTTCGAAAATCTATTTTTTTCAAAGTTTTTTTTTTAATTTTGTTTTTGGTACGGGAAGTTCCAGCAATTTGCCTTAAGGCACGATACCATACTCCACTAGTTTCACCTATTTTTAAAGACAAATAATAAATATAAAAAAGAAATGCACACATTTATTGATAGTCATACACAGCGCACTTGTTCAGAGTGATTCATTACAATTTCTTTTAACAATTCTCATAGTGCATGCATAACTAATAATTAGTCTCACTCTGATTATCACCTTTACCTGTTTGAGAAATTCATCTGACGAACGATTGATGTAGGCAGTATTTTCACTATTAATGTAATCAAAAGTGTTCTAATTACGTAGGTATTCTCGTATCGTTATACTTATTTTATATTTCCATATTCATAGTTATTACAATTTTATCGATGACGAACTTAATCCTGATTAATATCATGGTGGAATAAACTAATGGTCGTTTATCGAAGTTGTTTATACTTAATAATGATGTTTGCACATTTATGCATATATTACGTAATAGTGTTTAAAGTTTTATATTCATAATTTTATGCGATATTGCTGCGGCAACGTCGTAAAAGCTTACTAAAAATAAAGCAATATTAAAAGTTTTATTATATCAATATAATAAAACAAAGTATAAAAAAAGGCCGACTGATCGTTCTAATAGCCTAGTAACCCTTTGGCTACGAGCGTCACTTAACTAGCTGTGTGTACGAGTACGATCTTTAGAAGATATCCATTGTGTCGAATTTTAGTAAAATTATCATGAGTTTTTTTGTCATTTAAATACATTTTTAAGCCATCTTCATTATCTAAAAAATAAGCAAATTATTAAATTTTTTAATGATATTGGTATTTCAAAGTAGAAGGCAAAACATGTGTCACCTTAAATACATTTTATCAATAATGATAGACAAATCTTGAAACATTTTGTGTAACAATTACAGGGGCGGCTTTTCAAATCAATACAAATCATTTATTATTGATTCGTATACAAATATAATTATTGACAGCCAGGTAGACAGGTAGACAGATAGGTCATATAGACAGGTAGATAGGTAAACAGCGAGGGATGTATGAATGTAGAAAGGTGAACGAGTAAATAGGTAGACGGGTAAAAAAGTAGTAAAGTGGAGAATAGTATTGTAGAAGTAAACAGGCAGACAGGTAGACATGTAGCCAGATAGATAAACAGTTGAACCGGAAGTGAAGCAGACAGGTAAACAGGTAGACATGTTAACGGGTAAAGAGCAGAAAAGTAGATATATAGGTAGGATGACTAATAGGCGGACGGGTAAAAATGGTAGACGGGTAAAAATGGTAGACAGGTAGACATGTAAACATACTAAGTTGAAAATTATAAAGATAGACAGGTAAACAAGTGAACTGTAATAGATGTAGATAAGTAGACAGGTGGACAGAAAGACGGATAGACATGTAGACAGGTGTAGATGATATATCTATGATTCAAAAAACTATTTTTGAATAAACCGATTATAAACACTTATCACAAAGTTCATGCAACTTGTCACAAAGGCAAAATGCAACTTACAACTATACTATTAATATCCTAAGTTTAATTTAATTTTTCGATTCCTGTGCATTATTAATCAAGAAGCTCCTCCTTCTATGAAATGTATGCTTATTCAGCCTGGGTAAACAAAGCATCATGACATAATATTATTGGAAATTTACATCAATAAACATTCTGAAGTAATGTTTCTCTTAATTAAGACACAAGCACGAAATTATGTTATCTCAAGTAAAACGTAAACCTAAACCTAATCTGCCACAGTATGTAAAATAGCATACATGTAAAGGGGACGTCCATTAATCACGTGACCGATATTTTAGAGATTTTTGGACCCCTCCTCCCCCTTGGTGATACGTGGTGATATTTAAAATTATCCTCCCACCAAACATTACGTGTATCTTTAGTTATGAGAAAAAATCGTATATTTTTTTTAATGTGTGATTTTTTTTTTTTTAAAGTTTATGTAAAAAATAAATACACGTGATATCTTACTAGACCCCTCCCTCCCCCAAACTATATTTCATGATTTTATGCCAAATCCCCCTTTACCCTGAAGATTCATGTGATTAATGGACGCTCGCCAAATCAGTCAATAAAGATTGAGCTTTTGGATCTATGATCTATTGTTTAATTATTTTCAGGCATTTAGCAAACAAATAATTTTAATATTGGCTCTATGTTTTTTTATTAAATTCAATAGCAACATATGGAAGAGGTTAATCTCTTTTGACTTGTTCTTTTGTAAATTAAGATCTTTTGAATTTAAAAGTGATTAAATTTTTTAATGCAAATTATATTCGAGCAAAGTGTCATTTGGCTCCTAAACAAGCTGCATGATTAAAACGCTTTTTGTAATAAACTTATAATATTGTTTTGAAGAAAATCTATTTTTTTTTGTAATTACAATATTTATTACAACTGTTAAATAGTTTAACATCTAGTAATAATAATAAACAATAACATAAATTTAAATAAATAAGAGTACAAAGAATAGAATTTATATTAAAATGATATCATGATGATTTAATATAAAATAAAAGCAAATAATAAAAAAATAAAATAAATAAAATTTCTGAATAATAAAATGATACTAGAAAAACAATAAAGTGGATTTAAAACAATAAATGTTAGATAATAACAATATTAGAAATAATAAGATAATAACAATAATAATAATAATCTAATGGAAATAGAAAGCACATTTTTCTTGAAAGATTTTCTTGAAATTAGCAAATATGATTTTTGAACAAACATAAACTTTCTTTTTTTATCTTTTCAAAGACATTAGTATAGGTGTTCTTAAATATAATAATTTTAAAATGCTATTTTTAAATTATAATTTTGAATTGTTATATCAGTTTTCAGAAATGCGCGGTCGTGGTTATTACTTATTTCTTTGCTCATGTCGAATGAATATGATACATGGAATATGAATCATGTAATCGATTACGAAATTCCATTTCTTGGTTTACAACAACCAATTATCACTTATAATCTTATCACTTGATACCAACATTATATATGATAATTATTATTTTTTATTCATTCTTCCTGATACTTGCTATAGAAAATACTCAAAATTCGGGGTTATTTGTGTAAAAAGGCTGCTGGTAGGTAAGTGGCTAAAGTGTACTTGAATCAAAAGTTGATGTCAAGCAGTAGTGACATCAGTTTTTACTTAGAAATATAGATAGCAATGTATTTTCAAGTAAAAATAGCCCTTACCCAGATACTGCTGCATTACTTTTACAATAATTGTAATAATAATAATCAATATATACAGATGAGTCAAGTGTTTTGGGTTGCTTTCTATAATTAGCAAACGTAGTTTGTAAGAAATTACTGAGAAACAGCTGATAAAACTCTTGAAGTTCTGATTGCTGTTCAAATAAATAATAATAGAAAAATGTATGCAAATAAATCCTGAAACGAATAATGCAAACCAACAGGTTGTCCTCTGATTAAAGGCTGACGAAATAAAATATCAGAAAAATAAATTAATAAAAAAATTAAAAAAAAATATTTAAACTTGAGATTAATTTGTACTCAAATTCGGCATAATGATAGGGTTTCTATACAAATGTTTTTCCCTTATCTTCAAACATGAACTGAAAAATTCTAATAAATTTGTAATTTGAGAATTTGAAAATCTTTTACCTTATTTTATAATATCTGTTTTTTTTTTCAGATTTCACCCAGTTACGATCTTTGCGACGTTTGGACGTGAGTTACAACGGCATAAAGTGCCTGCCTCCGAGTGTCGGTGAGCTTCGAAACTTGGAAGAACTTTCCGTCGACAGCAATCCGCTGTTCGAATTGCCACCTTCCGTGTTTTCCTTACCACGTCTGAGGGAATTGAGCGCAAATTGTAAGTCAAACTTTACCTTAAATTGCACTTGAGTTATACTAAGGCATTAATTAACATGGTTACTTCTGTCCTTAACGAATCAAATTTGGATTATCGGACCTCTTGATAATTGATAACATCATAGATTAGATTACTGATCGTAGAAAAACTGAATATGTAAATGTAGTCAGTAACTGATAATTTTAATTTCATATTGTAAACCTGATGTGCTTATTGTTGAACAGTCTGTAATTGAAACTTACGTTACCAACGGCTACTTCTGGATACATTCAAGTGTCCTTAGATGATTTTTACCATCAGTTAATAGTTGTCCTCTGAAACACTTCTGTCGCCTTCGTTTTTCTGATAAATTGGGATGTACAAATATAATTATGATATAATTATATCAATGAAGATATTTTATACTAGTTAGTGGTGAGACAAGAAGGATGAGTTTCGGCTCCAAAGTGTATACTTAATGTCTGTATATTTGATCAAACCCATAAAAATTGATGTGCCACTTCAATGCTAATTAAATAGACTTTTTTGAAAAAAATTCAACAATATTTGAAATATATAGAATTTTAAATAATGAAAATGATCCAGCAACTGATAATTAGACCTGATTTGGTTATCAATATTCAGCATTTTTATGAAAATAATGTTATCATCAGCAATTTTTGGATACCTCCAAGTGTCGTAATAAGAACTCTACGAACAGGTTGTCTTCTGGCATAATTTTGATCATCTTCTTTTTTTGATAAATTGGTACAATACTTATATTATAGTATGATTATCGTATTAAAGATATGTTGTGCTATTTAGTGATACAAGCAAGATGAATTTCGATGCCAAAGTGATCTAACTAAAATCTAATGTCTTTCTAATTGATCAAACGAAAAACGAATTTAAAAATATTAAATTAAAAGCAATAAAAAATATGTTGCAAAAGTTTAACAATATTTGAAATTTTGCATATGTGCAAAAATGTGCTCAAGTCTGCTAATATAATCTCTTATATACCCATTAGGGCGGGCCAATTTAAAAGTCGTATAGACTCATATAATTTTCGGATACTAGGGATCATAATAAGATACTTCGCTGAAGAATCCAAACGTTGAACTTTAAAATAAATCCATTTTGACCCATTTATAGAGCAAATATCATATTTTGGTCCCCAGATTTCCGAAATAATATGTGCCTACGCGACTTTTTTGACCCAGACAAATCGATCCATTTAATAGCTGTAATATCCACATATTAGTTATTTAGTATAAGAACCTGCAATAACTATTTTTCCTGAAATCAGTAAAAAATTAGCACAATTTTTTCCGCATAGAACATCTAATCGTGGTAAATCGTGCTTTTAATGAAATATTTTTACAGAATTATCTATGCAAATACTTCTGATTATCTCACTTTCAAACACGGGAAGTAGTTTTTGTTTAGGATTTTACATACTTCGTTACTCTATTTAGCTTTAAAATTTATTAATCATCAGATTTCGAGAAAATTTAGAATTTAAAAAGATTTTTCTGTAAAAAAGTAAAATAATGTATACTTTAGTTAATGATCAATATAATTCAGAACAAATTTCTCTTTAATAATTAATAAAATGAATGAATGAAATAAATAGACATATGTTTTTAACCAGCATTGTTGTTCGAATTCTTGTTTTTATAAACATGCTAAACCAATCGTGATACAATTGATTATTTTGAAAAGTTTCATATTACTTATTGAGTTTATTAAACTCCAGGTGTTTATATATTAGTGATGTGTATGATTATAACTAATTAAGTAATAGGCAATATGTTAAATGTTAAAAGAGTGTAAATTAGGGTATAAATAAGTTATCAGCTAGTGTTGCCATTGCCAGGTTTTCTGAATTTGATAGTGAATTTTTTGGAAAGTACATAAATATGAAGTTAATGCAACTAGTATATATGAGAAATAATTAATTAATTTGGACATTAACAGTTGTGATTTGCGCTGCTTACCAGCATTACCATTGGCCGCTGATCCTCTGCCTAATATTATTTTCAAGCTGAACCCTGCCCTGAAACATGTACCCTTGACTCTTGAACCTCTGTTTGATATCAATCCACATATCAGCACACGATTTTGGTAATTGGAAACATATAATCAATTATATATTTGTATTACCTTCACTGGTACGTCAACCTGATGCATTTACAAATTGATTGCAGGACATACGATTCGACAGAATTTTTCCATCCAAGACAAATCCATGTAAAAGTAGTCAATACTGAAAATTTACCAGAAATCGATGTTTATTTATATTCGGGTATCAAACATGTTTCACAATATTTTGCTCCAAAAATGCCAACATTGTTCGAATTGGCCTTGCGGAAAACACATGCTATTTTGAGCAAAACTCTTTCTTTCTGGATGAGAATGAAAACTGTGATGATGAAGATTATAATGAATTTTATGATAGTGATTATGATGGGGAGGGTCATTATTATGTGAACGGAAAAAGTTTTATAAAAATGACTCATGAAGTAATGCATGTTGAGGAACTACCTCTACATCTGAGTTCTCAGTTAAAAGAAGGGCCGAATGCCGTTTGCCACAACTGCAAAATTGGATTGTTTGAATATGAGTGCTCTGCTTTTTAAACAGGTATGATAATGAGAAATTTTAATATAGGAGGGAGGTGCTTTGCAAGTAAGTTACTTTGGGGAACTGTTTACAGACTAGCATAT